CTCCTTAGTATCTAATCTATTATAAAGATCATTAAAAGCAGAATTTCTAGCGTATCAGATTATTCTTTTAGATTCCTTGCGGGCCGTTTGATATTGTTCCCAATTCTCTAAGCTTTTACATTTAAAGTAATTTTTATAACAAAACTTCTTATACTTTATTTTTTCTTGCACATTATTATTCCACCACAAACTATTTTTATTTATAAAAACTTTTTCTTTTGATTCTCCATGCACATCTTTTGCTACTTGTTTAATAGTGTTTGTTATTTTATTCTACATAACATTTGTTTCTTCATGAATATCTCAAATTTTGAAATCTTGAATTTTACTCATAAAAATAATTTTATTTGTGTCTTCTAATTCTACGATGATGAGTCCTAGTATTCTTTATTTTACAACTTTTATTTTTAAAATCTAGAACTAATGAACGATGTTGGGTATTTAAATTTTCACTTGGAATAACCTTACAATCTTTACAATCGTGACGATCTCTTCTTCTTATAAGAAAATAATCAATTTATTTTTTATTAGATCCACTCTTATAAGTAATAAGATGTTCATCCCTTTTTTTGAATAAAATATTAATAATAACAAAATCATATGGTAAATCAAAATCTAAAATAGCTCCACATTCTTCATTAGTTACTCCAAAATCGTAGCTACCATGAGTATTTCTGAAATTTTTTACTACTCTACTGGCATGCCCATTTAAATCTCCTCTAATAAAAGTTTTTTCTTCAAGAGGTATCATTTGTATTAAGTCTTCTAAGTCATTCCAAAATTTATCTTTAGACCTTGTATCTAAACCTACTTGAGGAACATAAACACTTATAATATTAAAAATCTTAGTATCAATGATAATCTTAAGGGGTATAATTCTATCTCCAACTCTATTAATTTTTACATCATTATCTTTCACTCTTATCTATAATTACACCTACACCATTTATAGTGCGACTCTTACCAGAATACCAAAGTTTAAAACTTAAATTATCAATCTCCTTGGCCTTTTCTTCAACCCACTTAGTTTCTTAAATACATAAGGTATTAATTTTCCTATGAATCATAATATCAACTAATTCCATTAATTTACCATTGAGAGTACCTATATTCCAATATCATATCCTAATATTAGTTTCATCGACTAACTTCTTTATCCGTATTCGCCCGTAATGTGAGAACCCTTGCTAATAAATACTCACAATGAGCGAGATAAATACTCACAATGAGCCTGTTGATATAATGCTTGTGGCAATTTCAATATCTAAATTTGAGCATTTTTTGGATTTAATTGATGATCATCATTCAGTTTTGCCCTTAGGAGCGATTTTTGTAGAAGAGGTAATGATAACTGATTGAAGATTTATTTCTTTAAGTGTAATTTGTCCTGAGGTGAAGACTATTAAAAATAATGACCTGGATTTAATTTAGCCTAATGAGATTTTTTCTAGGTAATGTGGTGGCAGGGATAGACCCGATCTTGTTGCCCACCACTGGCATCGCAGAGGATTTAGTTGTCTTCAAGCCCGTTATGGTTAATTGGTGTCAATTTTTTTAGGGTTGATTTCATTAGGATTTTGTACACAACTATATAGATATTTATATATATGTATGTATGTATGCGTGTATATTCACTTATGTTTTAGATCAGCAAGAGATTTGGTCATCTAACCCCAAGTGTTCTACTCTATAATTTTCTTCGAGATTAGTGAATTTTATTCTCCCATGCATTTGGTTTTTTCTATCTTTCTGTTTTCCGTGTAGATCTAAACTATTCTTTTTTGCTTCTGATATTGTAAACACATTAAATTTATAACTTCAAGCTTGAGCTCATGGCTCAGTAAGCTCAACTCATGAGCTCCTTAGTAAGTTGAGTACAGGCTAGCTTGGCTCCCCTACCGGCCTTTAACCTGATTTATACAATTTTCAGGCAATGTGATAGTGTAGATCTCTACCATATATTTCAAAAAAAATTGCAGATCTCAAATATTTCTTATGCATCCACATATTGATTCTTACCTATAAAACTCAGTTAATATTTTTTCAAGTATAAATTAACATACAACAACAACAAAACCTTTATCCCACTAAGTGGGGTCGGTAAAAAATAATTTTGGTGGAACACTAAATGCATTTGATTTTTTTTCTTTTATTAGAGTTTTTGGGCAACAATGGTCTTTTGGCATTTTTCTTCTTTATTTTTTAGAGTTTTTGGGCAATAACGGTCTTTTGGCATTTTGTAGCACAAAGAAAAGGCTTGAACCAAACCTGTGCAATCAATCCAAGTTATGCACAACAAACCGACTGCATGCCTGCCAAATAAAATCAACAACTTTCCACCACAACTTCTCCAATGGTTGCTTCTCATCACAACCATGAAGATAGAAACAATCATAACAAACAAAGTCTTAGTAAAACGTAATGCATCATTAGAGAATTAGTGATAATAATTAAAATGATTTTCATGAAAATTAGTGCACAAATGCTTTTCGCACCTAGTTTTCACGAGAATTATTTTTAATTCTTGTCACTGATTCAATGATGCATTATGTTTTACTAAAACTTTGTTTATTATGATTATTCGATCTTCAAGGTTGTCATGAAAATTAGGTGCGAAAAGCATTTACCCACTATATGGCAATATTTTAGCACCTATGATTTAATAAATGAAAAAGAAACCTGGAACTTGATTTGTGCGCAATGCAGCACGTTTCTATCATAGTTTCACAAGGCACTAGGGGAGCTCTTCTCTCCTTGTTTATGTATTTATTCCGGGCTTCAAAGTGATTGAGATAGCAAGGACGGAAATATTCGGTTTATTATAATATCTGGCTATTTTATGTTTTATCAGGGCCCTGATCTTTAAAATGTAGAAATCTTACCAGTAGATGGCTTAATTGGTACTGGATCGAAGATATGATTACACTTTCTTAACAATTCGAGCTTTCATGATTTCCATTATTCTTATTTGGCCATTTTATTTCCCCAGTTACATGATGCCTTCTGCTTTTCCATAAATCTAATCAATATAATGATCATTGCTTTGAATAATGCAATTCCTTTAGTTTTGCTGAAATTTTGTGCTGGTTAAGGGAATCTTTCCACAAGTTTACACAACCAGATAAAATATTTCTATAATAATCAAACTGTGTAAATGGTCTTGTTCTTTTGCTGTTTTGCAAACTATAAGAATTGGATGATTTCTTCAGCATTGGGGACTTTCTAACTACTCCTATATCCTTCTCCTTGAATGAATCATTCCTGTACCACTCGCTTCCTCTGTGTAAAGGCTCCGGAGTAATAAAATAGGACTGGTAATTTCATTTTGAGACCTTCAAATTTGTTGTTCAATTTAGACGGAATAGAGGAAGGGTAATTTATTTTAAAAAAGAATAGAAGGAAGGGTACTCAATTCAGACGTTTTTTTTTCTGCATGTGCTCACAAATTCATCTACTATATGAAAATCAACCCATTTATATATATGACTACTCATGTATGGATTTTCTAGTCTTTGTTACTTGTGTATGAACTCATGTGTTTGTAATTATTATTTGAGATTGCAATTCCTTATGCTATTGTAGTTCTTATAGCTAACATAGTTATATACAAAATTGCACATTTTCTGAAGTCTAGTAGGACCTTGAAGCGTAGGTTTATCCAACCAGTTTCTTTTTATTTTTCCACCTGCTTTGCACACATTAAAAACGATGCAAATTGTTCTGATTCATTCATCCCAAGTTGCCTTTGTTATTTGTTTAATTTGTGAACAATTGAATGTGTTACCTTGGTAATGTTTTTTATTGAATTATCTTTCCAACTATATGGAGCTGGCTTAATTATTTGCAGGATCAGTTGTGATTTTCAAACCGTATCCACATAGGATTTCTTCCTTCTTGGCTAACTTCTTAATGACTCAATCTTCATGTGGAATTTGTAATTAGTTTTATAATTTATTTAGTGCATTCAATTATACGCTCTGAATATATTCCATGCATAGTTATCTTAAAGTTGGCAACCTTTTTTGTTCCCGCTCTATAGGATCATTTTGCTGCACTTATTTTTCTTTCTGATTGCTTATTCTCTGCAACAGCATTCTTTGGTGGCCACGAGGGAAGCACGATAAAGTGATTAGCATTGACGAGGGAAATCTTTTCTTGTGGAGCATAGATTCTTCTTGTAAAACAGCCAAGGTGTTGTATGCATGGAATACTTAGATCCACTTAATATTCTGGATGAAGTTATTCTATCAACCCAAGATGAAATTTTATTTTTGCAGTTGTTTTTTCTCTTTTCCTTATAAATTTTCCATATTTTCAATAATTGTAATACCAATGTCCCAAATATTGTACTCTTTTTTCCTGTCCTGTCACTTTGATTGGTTTTTGTTATAAGAATTAATTTAATCTTTTGGATTCCAGAAAGGATGACTCTTTTGGATTTTACATAAAAAATGCATTCAAACACTAGAACTTCTTTTAATAGTATGATATCTAGGTCTGATCTTCATGTTTTTCTTAGTTCAAATATCTCATAATTATATCTGCAAAAATGCAACACAGATAATATCACAAGAATCTGTTGGAATGCTTCATAGATTATCTGGAGGATCATGGGACCCTCATGACCAGAATGTTGTGGCAGCCTTATGCGAGTCTTCGCTACAATGTTGGGATCTCAGGACCATGAAGTATACTCATCTTCGTCTTTCTGTGTTCTTTTTTGTATTCCTCTGATGTTTTCATGTAATTTCTTCAGCATTGTGATGTCTGAAACATCAGTGATCATGTCTTCTTATGCTTGTAAGCACTTTATGCTTTATGCCAAAATGTAGTTTAGACATTTATTGAAATGATTGGTGAAGGATTTTCTGAGAAAAAAACAATACTAATTCTCCTTAGATTTCATTAGAGATGTTTACAAGATAACTAGTAGAGGAAAGCCAAATCAGCCACAAAATCCTAATGCTAGAGAATAGGAAACTATCAACGATAGAAAATTCTAAAAACAGAGAATACTACAAATAGAAAAATTCTAATTTTGACCCTAAAATTCCGACATTAGTAATGCAGATTTTGCTAATATTTGTTATTTAATTGTTAAATTTTCATTTTTATTACTTTGGTGCTAGTATATGATAGGAATATAAATCACGAATAATCCCAACTTTACCGTGGCTTAGAATCAATTAGAAACTAGACCATACTGTGGAATAGTTGGATCACACCGATTCGATAAAAAAACATGAACAAAAATTCAAACAGAAGCAAAATCAAAATAACCATAAAACACGAGAATTTACGCGGAAAAACCAAAGAACGAGAAAAAAACCATAGAGCCACACCATAAAAAATTTTTACTGTGAAATCCAGAAGGTTTTACAAATAACTCACACAAGTTTTCTCTGCACATACAAAGAAAATTTATAGGACTCACTCTACAATCTTTACTCTTAGATCCGATGCAAAAAATCACGCTGAATCACCAAAATCCATCACTTCGACACTCATCACCTTCACCGGGATGCTCGTCGAAGAATATCGAAGGAAGTAATAGCAAATCATAACTTCATTAAAACCATAAATCCTGAGACCAACTGCTCCTGCGCATAGGCGCTTGGACTTGGGGCCTATGCGCCAAGCTCTCGGGGAACATGCACTTTAGTTGGCGCCTAAGCGCCCTGTCGTGTCCACCTTAAAGTGGGCGCAAATAGGCGGCGCATAGGCTCCCGCTCTTCTGTTCTACTAACACCCAAGTGGGTCCTTAAGTGCCCACAACCCGGCGCATATGCGCCGGGTGCCTTGTGCTTAGTCTCCACAGCCCAACAGTATAATATACATATTTTTCTGGAATAGAAGCTTCATTAACTCCTAAATTGTAGTACAAGGATGAAAGTAATTTTTGTTTTTGTTCAAGCTTTTGTTTGTGTAGAATAACTTCATGATGTTTTATGTTTGCCCTGCTCCTACATAATGAAAATCTTAGAAGATGAAGTACATAATGTTAAGTAAATGGGGCATTAGAAATTTTAGCATTTGCATCTCCTTTTATCACTGCCATAGTCATGCTAGCTATGCGGCAATTCTTCTGATGGATGGTTTATTTTTATCGAAATCTCAATACTAGTGACTTATGTTTTAATTTTCTTTCGGAGCCTTTGATTTGTAATCATTAATGATGATGTGATTACGATGCATAAGCTGGAAGTGCAAAATATTGATATGATACATTGTTTTTCCGTTCATTTCATATCTTCCTAAAATTATTTATATGTAACAACTAAACTGCTTGTTCTCGGTTCCTAGGAAGACAAACTCAATTGAGAATGCACATTTCAGAGACGTAGATTATAACCCCAAGAAGCAGCATATAATTGTGAGTATCCAAATATCTTCTGATGGAAGCTTTTTTCACTGTTTACATTAAATGTACAATTTTGTTATAGATGGATTTTTTAGATATAATCAGGAATGCTTATTATGATGGTAGAAGTAAATGTTCGATTTGATTTCGCAATTTGTTTTTCTTTGTTTAAATTTTTACTAATTTACGTTTGACATACAATTAACTTTTTATGCCACAAACAACCTCTTGAATTAAGATCAAGCAAGTTATTTAGAAATTTCCGAATAAGTACATTGTCAACACCCTCACTTGGCAAGTTGGTTAGACTTGTTTGGACAGCCCAACTAGAACATGTTATAGTTATAGGCTTGTATCTTCGGGTGTGATTCCATGGCCGCATTTTCAGTTTCATTTGGCTGGTGGTTATCTTGGGCCATTGGTAGATCTGATATAAAGTCGAGCTTAAGTGAGTTCATTTTGGCTTGAGATGTTAAAAGGTTGATGATACATAGTCGATTGAAATCAAAATTAATTCAAGTCAACCAAAGTTAAAATTCATTTTTGAGTTCACTAGAATAAAGTATTTTTCATATACATACATACATATATATATATATATATATACATACATATACATACATACATATACATACATACATACATATACATACATATATATATATATACATATATATATATATATAGATAAATCCTTTTTAATTTTGGGAAGTACTCTTGAGCAATTTAAAGTTCAAAGGGATATCTCAAGTAGATTGGAGTGGTAGTACTTCGAAGGGCATATATTTCCAAAATGTTGCCCAAAATTTGCCTTGGATAGAAAAAAAGCCTATGAGTGCTGACCTCATTTTTGGTGAGGTCTTTTTTTCCTCTTAGTGCTTAGGATCTAGTCATAGGATTTTCCCTTTGACTATCCTAGAAGATTAGAGATGAAACTCACATAGAAATTCAAACCACCTCTTAGCTCTCTTCGAAACCCTACGTGGGGTGGTCTCAAACCCTCAACACTTTGTTGCACTTGTAAGCTTAGGACCAACTTGTGAGGATTCGAGGATGAGTTCCTATAGGGTTTAGAAGCTTCAGGAACATCCATTACGACTTTTGTACATTCGCGCACGAATATCACGATTTAGAGACGGTCGACACATTAAGTATTGCAATTCACGTCACCTATGTCTTTATATATTGCATAATTAATCAAAATTTAAATAAAGTTTTGAAACGGTCAATCGTGAACGAAAATTTCGAGGAAAATCGAATACGACACATTTTTGATTCTATCGTCGATGAGGTTGTCCGAACGACCTCGAATGACGAAACATACCGTGTCGGCGCGTCCGAAACGTTGAATTTAACCGGGAGGGACACCAATTTTGATATGATTCCGAACGAGATCAAATTGTGTTCGAATTGGCGGATTTTAGATATTAAAAAATGGGTGAAATAAAAGAAAATAAATACCTAAAATTCGAACTCCCCCCTTTTCCTCGCGAAGGATAGACCTAAGGTCCCCTCTTCCCCGTGCTCTGGTAAAGTTTCCTGCCGCCCTGCTTCACCTACTCCCTGCCGCGCTCCTGCTTTATGCTTTCCACTCCCACTCTTGCGCCCTTGTCGCCACTCACATGTCCTCCGAAGTCTCGGCTCACCTCCCAGGTAAGTTCAGGTATGTTTCTCCTCCCATCCTTGGCTATAAAAACCCCATTTGGGGGACTTTTGGGTTGGCCAAAATTCTGGTGTGAAGGGGAGGTGTTTCCAAAATTTTGTAAATTGCTCGGTTTTTTTGTTTGTTGATCGGCCTTCTTGCTTGTTTGTTTGGCTTTCTTTTTGCTTTGGTATGCTCGACAGGCCTGTTTGCTTAGAATTTGGTGGAGAACCAGGTAAGCATAAACTTGCATCTCTTTCTTGAATCACGTGTGATTATCTCAGATTGACTTTCCAGTCATCTGGATGCCAGTTTTATAAATAGCAATGTTTGGAATGCTATTTATGTAAAGTTGAGCTTTCAATTAGTCTATAATGTAGATGCATATTCTGTTATCATGGAGTTTATGGTAAAATAAGCATGAAGGCTTATTGCATATTTCTTGAGGATTGTTGCAGTATTGTTTTGCCTACTAAACTAGTGAAATTTTATTGGGAGGAGCAATATTGATTATTGACATTTTGGGACGCCGAGGTCTTGTTCTCCTCTAATGATGATGAGGTATCATAACCTCTAGAAACCTGTTCTACATTCTTTATTTTTGGAGATTTCTCATTTGAAATCGGTCAACAGGCTGCTTCTTTTAAGGATTCTTTTTTTTTTTGCACACCTGATGGAATTTTGACACTTGGAGGTGAGAAAAAAACAGGTAAGTTTACACACTTAGCCCGCAATTCTTCTCTATTTGCATATCGACACTTTGGTGCTTTTGAACCTATGCATTAATATGCGTATTTCACTAAAGGGGGCAATTTAGTCAAAGCTGAACCTCATCTTGGTCTATCTTTTGTCAGATCATTTGTATATTAATTTATCAAAGGATGTTGGAGCTATTTAAGTGCTTAGATTAACTCCTCACCCTGCAAAGAAATTTTCTTCTTTGTTTATGTGCCCGTTTATGTTAGCTTTCTCACTTTTGTTTGGTTTTAATTTTATTTGGTGATTTGTGATGTTTTCATGGTGAGAAGCAATTCATTAACAGAAAGGGCATGCTGGACCTTGCTATTGATTTTCTCAGAAAAAAGGGGGATTTACATATATGCGATTGAATTCTTAGACATTAATTTATCTAAACCTAAGGTTGGAGCTTTATTATAAATGTCTTATATTTCTTGCATTACCAGACAATTCTTATATATTTACATATCCAACACTCAAACTTCGACATTTATATATATACCAAAATTTCAAATGGCTGTTTTTTGCTCTATGTGTGTGTCAATTTGAGAAGATTTAGGGGGCTTTCATTTATCGATTTGGGTAATTTAAGTTCTGATTTTTAGAGGATTTTATACATCGATTTGGGCACTTTAAGTGTTGATTTTTAGAGTCATTTATACATTGATTTGGGCACTTTAAGTGCTGATTTTTGGAGGCTTTTACGTACCTTTTGGGACTGATTTGATCGTTGTTTTGAAAGAATTTAATCGTCTTTAGGCCGATTCACTTGCGGTTTTGCCCCTTGCTTAGCTGGATTTTTTTAGAAGTGAGTCGGTCTTCTTTTCCTTTGATTTGCTTTTGTTATCTTTTTCCTTTTCAATTGTTAAGTCAAAAATAGAAATTTCTGATTTAATTATTTGGAAAATACTTAAAAGATATTTGAGGATTAGTAAGAAAACACTTCATTGAGGGTAAAACACCTTGAATCACTTCAAACACGAGTTAAAGTGTAGACATCCTAAATTTTATAAGCACACCCAAGGTGAGAGTTAATCTACCTAATTTTCAATCAAATGATGAAACTAAGCATTTGACCTTAATTCAAGAATTGATTAAAACACTAAATTTAAGGATACATTATGATGTGGTTCATGTCTTCCTTAATTAAATCAAGTAGTGAAATTCCCGTCATGACTTAACCGACAATAAATTCTCTGGCAATTGGGGAGATTCCCAATGTCACATATAAGTCACATACTCCTAGTTCTTTATACGTGACATTGTGTTTTGTTTTACTCGTTCGTGTGTTTTTTATTATGATTTTATTATACCGGATTTTCTAGCAACTTGTTTAAGTTACCTGTAATTTACTGCCTTTTTTATTGCATTATTTACTTTAATGCACTTGCTAAATACCTTGGGTAAAGAACAGTAAGACATATGCTAAGAGGTACACTGAGCCCTTGAGACCCAACAATAATTATACTTGCAAATACAAAACATAAGCTAAACTTGGAGTCGTTACAGTTTGGAGCTTGGAACGAGTCTTCGTGGGCAGCACAACGGAGAAGCAATAGGTGGAGGATGACGATCTACAACAACATATCTTTTCCTAGTTTAAATAATGTCATAGGACTTCGAGGTGGTCTGCCTAGCGCGACAGAAATCCTCACTTTATCTTTTAGGCATTTGGCACAACGGAGAAGCAATAGGTGGAGGATGACGATCTACAACAACATATCTTTTCCTAGTTTAAATAATGTCATAGGACTTCGAGGTGGTCTGCCTAGCGCGACAGAAATCCTCACTTTATCTTTTAGGCATTTGCAAAACCAAGTTATGCAATTTAAACCCTAACTCGCTTTAGGTTCCGAGATTGTCGTCCGATACGATGTAAACCCTCATATCTTTCAGGTCATTTGTATGACCGTGTCACACAAATATAAGTCATAACTAATAAAATTGACAGAATTAAATATTAAGTAATACATTCTCAAAATTAAAGCCAAACAATAGGATGGTTCGGAAAGTCACCAAGGTCTTCTCCTCAGGATTCGTGACATCTTATACTTTTCTTTCTTTTGATTCAAGAAATAAATGTTCTCATTTGGTCTCTTTTTCCTACTTGACTTTTTTATGTTCAACTTTGAAAACCCTGAACTTTGAATTCATGAATATAGATACCTCTGATCATCATCGAAAGTTCTCTTAAGTGACATCAGTCATTTGAGAGGTAATTAACCATATATAAGGAGCTTTAAGAACCCAGGTAATATAAACCCTATCTAGTTTTTAATGTTAGTTAGGGGAATCTTTCGGTCAACATAAATGTTCAAAGGCTGAAAGGTTGTCATAAATTTTTTAGTTTATTTAATCGAGCCTCATGGATAAGTGATATGTCCATTTCTCGAGATATGTATGTCACTTGTAGTGTTGTGTTCTTTTATCCATTTTTCGGGATATGTATGTCACTTGTAGTGTTGTGTTCTTTTATTTAAACTATCGTCTATATGGGATCGATTTGGTATCTTTTTTTCAAAATTAAATAATGGTATCTTATTTTCAAAATTAATTAATTACTTTTTCATACTATATATATCATATTAAATCAAATATCTTTTTCTCAGTCTGACGGCCGACAATGAGGATT